TCTTACAGATTTGATCTAGCTCTTCTAGTTTAGCTGTAATCACAAAAACCGCGGGGACACTTTCATTTGACTGGTTAGATATTAACAAGTAATTATTAATTATAAAATTAATTAAAGTTGCATGTTATAATATTACCTGTAACACATTGTTTCTTATTAGACAATGCTTACAATTACGTTTACAGTTACAATTAGAGATAATATGGATTATATTAGTATAAAAATTTTGTAAAATAATTAATTAGTAATGTTTATAAATTAATTCTAATACAATGGGCACGAGATAATCAATGTTAACCTACGGAACAAAGTGGAATGGTGGTTGGAGCGAAACACTCATGGTAAAGTGCCTACCATTGAGTTCGGGCCCGACAACAAGGTTTTATATGATTCGCTAATTGTTTGCGAATATCTCGACGAAGTGTATGCCGACCGCCGGCCCCTTCAGTCCCGGGACCCCTACCAGAGGGCCAGCGATAAGATGTTTATCAAGACTTTTGGCGCCAGTTATGGCTTTTACTTTAAGTATATCTATTCGACGGACAATTTAACCGCTGTTTGGCCGGAGATTACAGACGGACTTAAGAAAGTGGACACTTTGTTGGCTAAGCGCAGGGCAAACAACCGTTATTTATCAGGTATGGATGGACTGATCAAATAATCAGAGTACCCATAATAAATTATTTAATTATTTGTTTATTATTTTAATTGTATTTTAATTTATTGTTAATTCAGTTTATTTAGCAAGTGCTGTTAGTTGAGTATAATGTTACTCTTACAATGTATAAAACAAATAAGTGTTATATAATACAGTCTGCACCGCATTTATCGGTCCCACATTTAACGTAAAACCGCATATAACCGAATATTTTTTTGCCACACCGGCAGCTCCTATGGGTGTATAACGATATGTACACCACTAATAGCAGAATCGGTTATAACAGAATACCGCATATTACCGCATATCGTTAAGGTGAAAACTTGTATTTTTAATGACCCTATTGATAAAATAATTTATAGTGTTATTAAAATTAGTGTTTTTTTAAATAAAACGTTACTTCTATCATGTTTTTACACAAATTCAGCACTATCTTTGTAAAGTTTGTTAAAATAAGCCCAACATTGGCACAATATTCAAAAGTCCATTACCGAAAATAACAAACAACCGGATATAACAAAATAGTATTAAACTCACCGAGTGATTCTGCTAAATGCGGTGCAGACTGTATATAAAATATTATGTTAAATTTCATTATAGTGAAACAAATATTGGAATAAATAGTGAAACAATAGAATTAAAAGCAAACTAAATTATGATTAGGTGTAACAAGTTAATATGAATTTTGTTTAACTTATGAACTTATTATTTTATTTTATATTTAATTAATAAACAGGTGAATCACTGCCCGGTCTGGTCGACTACGCCATCTGGCCGTTCATTGAGCGCCTGCCGCAGATCATAGACCTCGCGGGCCATAACTCGACCGACTATTTGGCCAAAGAGTTGCCAAATGTTGCCGACTATAGGCAACAACTGTTGGCCGACCCGACCGTTCAAAAAGTGAGCCTTCCGTATGAGACAATACTGGCCTTCACTCGAGAGTATAAAAATACTTTCTATTATATGCAGAGCAATGATATTTATGCATTTCAAAGACCATAAATATGCCATATAATATGCACTTATAATGTGCAAAATATGTGCTTAAATATGCATTTATGTTCAATAAATTTGTCGTTATTTAATACAATGTTGCACTTAATTAATTAATTATGGAGTTATTTAGTAAAATTATCAACATTTAAGTATAGGTTGAGGTTTTTACTATGTATTAGCTTTATTTTAACCACATATTTTAAGTGTTTTCAATGGGTGTTTCATTCAAACCCCAGCCGTATATCTGTTTATTGCTATTCAAAGCCAATACAAAGTTATATCCATTAAAAAATTGTTGTATATTATTATGACTTAATTGTATGACTTCTTCGGGCGTATGTATGGGTCGGTTGTGTCCCAAACCCAACACTCCCTCACTATTACTGCCCAACCCATAGACCCGATCATCGGTTGTCACAAACAATATGTTTTCCTTATACTCACTGTCTTTAAAAACATGAAATAATTGTATTTCTCGTCTTAAATCGTGAGAAATTTTGACACAAATATCAAACTTATTTAAAATCTCAGACATTATTAAAAAAAAGTTATTATTAATTAACATCATTAAAACCAAAATATAATTTTACTTTAATTAATCAAATTAATTAACAAATATTACAGTAACTTTTCATTTATAGATACCTTAATTATATATACTTTTTAATTAATTAACAAATATTTCTTAATAACTTAATAAATATAACTACTTTTGTTAATAATATACACAATTAAAACATATTTATTTAATCATTTCATTTTAAACATACAGTCATATTGTTTATTATATTATGTTATGCTATCAGTAAATAGTCATATGGTAATAGTTATACAATATCCATAATTACTTCGCCATCTAGTAGTCGAGAGAGAGAGAGAGAGAGAGAGAGAGAGAG